CACATGCGTCTCAACTCCCCACCCAGGAAAGGGTCCCAGAAATGTATTTCGGGGAAAGCTTTCTGGGCGTGATCCTTTTCAGCCTCTCCAGGCTAAGACCCTGGATACAAAAAACCCTGATACTGGAATTAGCTTTAAGAGGTGTTTCATCATCATTCAGCTGGTTTGTTTCCGCTCCTTGGGATACCTTGTAGTTGCCTGGGTCGTATGTAAGCGCGTTTCCAAGGTGTTCAAAAGCCTTCTGGTAATCCCCAAGCTGGGAAAAGAAATAAGTAATATCAGAAACTCAGAAATAAGGGGGGTTAAGAAGGAGAACATGCGCTTTTGAGGCATGAGGATTTCTGGTTCAGTTAAAACAAATATTCAGAAAAGTGAATGTGACAGCACTCCCATTACACACACGTGTTCTTGTTCGATAATTTACAACACAGATTCTGAAAATTTATTTTGCTGGGCTGGATTCACTGTTCTGACTGAAACAAAGTTTTCCATATAGTTTGTGCTCCGACTTTTCTATAGAGAAGCGAGCTCTGGGCTGATGCTCCTCTGCTCCTTCCTCTCTTCCAGAAAAGAGGCTAAAGATTGGTACTCTGCACATCCTCGACTCCCTCACCACAGCTTCCTCACCCCCCAGGGCACTCTTTTCATGGGAAAAAGCCTCCCCTTGTCTTCTAATGGACTGCAAGTGTTAGTGGGCATGACTGTGTCCATATATAAGCACATGGCTGCTTAGAATCCCTTAAATCCTGTTGTTTTCAATTGAGTTATGCCAGAACTGTTCCAGTCAGAGCAAGATAAAATTCTGGATACTGGCATCCCTTTCTGGTCACAAAAATGATGAGAAGCCCATCTGTCACTCCAGCAATTATACTGATGGATTAGAGTCTGGCGCCTTCTGTAATTCAGAGCAAGCAGGAAAGCTGTGGAAGCATCTTTAAGGTGCGTACGTATCCAGAGAGACACAATGAACTGGACAAATGAATCACAGCATAGGGACCTGGGGGCTAAATTCACAGGGGGAATGTTATACTCACACTACTTCTCTCTTACAGATCCCCCTTCCCATGTCACACACCACTCACCCACTTAAGACATCCAAGGCTCCTATTGAATTCCCCCATCTCTAGGGCAAGGCGATTTTTTTCCCCAAGATCTATATTTTATTCTCGAGCATCTAAACGATTAGGGAAATGCCTAGGGATCTTTCCGAATCAGCACTCGGCACAAGTTTTCTAGCCCATCAATCCTTTCAGGCACTCCTGCCTATTCTTCTTCGCTTGTCCGCTCTTTGGGAAGCTTACTTTTGGAATGATCAGATGGTCCTTCCCATGCATTTTACAGACCCAATCGATAAGCATGCCTTTGTTATTTAAATCAATTCAGATTTTCTTCTATGGTGCATTAACACCAACAATTTCATGGCTGCTTTTGTAGGATAATAACTTGCTAGATTCCTGCTCCAGAAGCAAGGTAACGACTGGTCATGTTTTGTTGTACTTGGAGGATTTATAGCAGAATTAGGGCAGCTGCCAAACAGAATTCCTGCGCTGGCTCAGGTCCAGAAAATAAACTCACTTTTAGCAGCAAAAGGAAAAAAGAAGATAGATACAGAAAACACAACTCTATTGTGTTAAAACGCAGTCTTTAGTGAAACATATGCAAGTCATAGGAAGGTGGATAGAAATTAACTCCATAAAACAAACACACAAACAAACAACACCTTAGTCATTTTGAAAATAATTAAGTGAATGTAATAGCTAACAGTTTTCAGTACCTGCAAGTAAAGTAACCCCAGTGTTGTAAGGAGGTCTGTGTTCTCTGGAGAAAACCTGTAATACAAAAGCCAGAGAGCTGCGTTGTTTATCAGCCCTTCTGGAACAAGGTAAAAACAGAACATGGGATTACGATGCTACATCATACTAGCAGCACTCCAGGAAATTATGCAAATATTAGAACAACTGCCATCATGGGGACCTCCTTTGAACAATATTACACCTAAGCTTTCCAAATGTCTTCTAGATATAAATGAGAAGTCAGCATAGCTCAGTGAAATAGATTTGGATGCACCATAAAATAACATGGGTTTGTTAAGCTTCATAGTGAGTCTGCATCAGTGACCTGGAAATGCAAAATGGGATTTTTCCATTGTCTCCCATAAACCACCCTGTAAATCCATCCCAAGCTTCTCAGGCCATGGAGGGCAGGCAATCCTCAGCATTTACAATGGATCCTACACTCATGCATTGCCAGACTTTTAATTTACCCTATACAAAGATTACAAACCTGGTTTCATGGACGGGCTGTGGACTGCTTCACCACAGCTTAGTGTTGTACAGCAGCCCACGGACCAGAGTGCTCTGACAGGCACTACCTGTTAAAGTATTCCTGGCTGTACACACCACACCGTTCAGCACAGACTAGCTTGAAAAAATACATCCCGAGGGCTTTCAATTACTGTATGCATCTCCCAGTCCTTCACTGCTCCTACGAGGTTCAACAGCAATGCCGTGAACCCTTTTAAAAATATCACCATTCCCTTCTTCTTCTGAAGACGTAAATAGGATGAAAACAACACCAAAAAAGAAAAAGCAGAAAGAGAAACTGTATTTGCGGCCTCACTGCCTTAGCAGAAGTTTTCAATTCTCTGCTACCAAGACTAAAGAAAACTAATAGGCACACTCACATTGGCACCTTTAAACCTCAACCAGAACAAAACCACCTGGGCCTGATGGTATATAAACACAGAGCAAGGACTCTGTCCTGAGCTGGTAATGGAAGGCAAAAGGTAACAGGCAGATGAGAAGAACAAAAAGAAAAAAAAAACCCAGGAGTGAGGAAGAAGGGAGGGCAGGGGAGCACCGAGATAAGATACATAAAACTGGTAAGATGCTTAGCAAGGATTATTGACGTACTACACATTCTAGATTAGTCTGAATGTCTACCCAACCCGATGCACTGTCAGACAGCAGCCGAAAGCCAACGTGTAAGGCAACAGTATGTGCAAAGAGCTGGTACAAAATGCCGATCCTCCAGGGGCTTCCAACATGCTCCTGCTTTTGTTTAGTGTTTGCCTCCGTTACAAAACTACATGTTAAAAGCATTGGTAAATGAGATGCTCAGAAATGCCCTAAAACAAGACAGATCAGTCCTGAGAAATAGCGACAGGGTGGGAGCAACTTGCCATGCACCAACCCGTCTCCAGCCTGCCTACTCACAGCCTTTCGAACACAAATCACTCCAAGGGAAAACAGTACGCGAAACCCAGCAACTGATTTTTGACAGACGATCAGGGTTAGAGAGACACCCGAGGTCAGATCTTTTTGGTAGCTAAACCTTTGGGATTTATGAAGTCAGGTTTGGATAGGTTTGCTCCCAGGCATCTCCGTCCATTTGTTTTTCCACTTTTTTCTGGCAGACCGTCAAGTAGCTACCTTCTTCTCCAACACACTGTCAGCAGGGAGAGGACTGCAGCTGAGAGCAGAGACAGCTGAAGAGCTTGAAAGTGCCAGCTTTGCACAGAGACGCTATAATTACCATTAGCTTTTTAATCACGTCCTCAATTTGGATCTGGGACAGCAATCAAATTTCACTGGCATAGGCTGGAACACGGGCAGATAGCAAAATGGATATATTCTTACTCTACAGCTTTCTTATAGACTTCAATGGCTTTATCCGTCTCCCCCTCCAATAGGTGGATTTTCCCCAGCATCATGTAAGTCAGATCATGTCTGTTGAGCTCCAGGGCATTGTTTAGATGGTCTCGTGCCTAAACACACAACAACAGAGAATAAAAAAAAAAAAAAAAAAAGCGATTAGAGATCCCTCAGTGAAGCAACAGCCCAGGAGCGATCCCCAGCAGCTAGCAAAAGGGAACAGCTAACACCCCCGGAGCTCAGAGAACCCTGCCGGCAAAAGCAGCCCAGCTAATTGCTGGAACGAGTTCTGCAACCAGAGCCATGTGCTTTTAGGGACAGAAAAAAGCAACGTGGCATGCTTCAAGCCAAGCCACCAGGCAATGACCTCCCAAGGAGGAGAGGAGCGCAGGCCTGTTCCTGTATTTGAATTTGTTTGGTTTGAGGCAATCTCCAGATTTGTTAGGTTAACGGGTACATTACAGTTTATCCTTCGCTAAAGTGCTTATTCCAGCAATGAGCACGGGTTGCCAAGTAAAGGAGTGAATCAACTCTTGTCAGGCACATGCCGGTCCCCTCCAACAGGAAACACTTAGGAGCATGCCTTCCTCTTAATTCCTCAGGCCTAGCCTGAAACACATTCGCTGTCTCTGAACACATGATGTATTAGAAAGAGAAACGCTGACACAGTAACGGAATTTTGCAATACAGGATATTTGTTACCAACAGCTACTGAAGAGAGTCATCCCCAAGGTCTTCGATACATTTTAGACGTTCTCATGGAAGTATTGCTGCCCAGCACATCTCAGACTTAGGAAAAGCTGAGAAGTCAGCAGTATGGAAGGCATTACTGGAGACAACAAATCCCAAGGAGGAACCTACATTCCAGAGCTGCTTGCTTTACAGCGGTGCCTCGAACAGGGAATGCAGCAGGGGTTTTCTGCGAGAGCCACAGCGCTCCACCAGAAAGAGCAGCAGGGAGGGCTTGGCCCAAATTGGGAACAGAAGTTTTCTAAATGCTGGTTTTTTCCCTCACAGAAGTAATCCCACCAGATCGGAGACAGCTCAGTGCTCACCACGAGCACCTAGGGGAGCGTTAAGTGAGGAGCTGGGAATGGTGTGCTCAGACCTGGGAACAAAACTTCATTTCAAGCTTCCACAAAGTTCTTCACTAGCTGCAAATCTAAGGAAGTTAGGGCTTCCCATGCTGCAGTTATGCTCTTTTATGACTTTTGCTCCAGGCTTGGTGCAAAAGGAGCTTCAGACATAGGAGCAAATCCTTTCCATGGAGGAAAAAAGGTGCCTGCTGCACCTCCAGCAAATAAACCCCGTAAGTCTTCTCTCTACATCCTGCCGGACCCAAGGGGCAGCAAGTTTTCCTTCAGACACTCCCTGCACGAAGTGCAGCAGTTTGAGCTGTGTGCTGGGGAAACAGTTTGGGTCATTACTGCTTCTCTTTCTTCAAGAAGATGGAACTGGCATGCTCTATGGATTGCTGCTCCTCACAAAACTAGCAGTGTTTATGGCTCTGCTTTTAGAAGGCTCAGAAACAGAAGCAGCTCTTGTTGGAGCACAGCTGGTTTTCTGTCTGGAGGCAGCTCTTTGAGGTTTCTCAAACATTCCTTTTAAAACCAGAAATGCTGCCTCAAAAATCCGAGTTCAGAAAAAGCCTCCCGAGCAGCAACAAGGCTAACCTCAGTGTAACTCTTATCCAACTTGCAGCTGACTCAAAATAATTCAACGTGCAAATGAAAACAGAGACAGCTCACAAACTTCTGTCCCCAGAAACAAATGCTGCAGCAAAAAAACCTTCCTTGATACCTACCACTGCAAATGATCCACTTCAAACTACCAAAGAAAGCGACATTTCTGGGAACCCCAAGTAGATAATATGAGCATCTGCGTTACCTTGTTGAAGTGTTTCAGGTACATGTAGCACACACCCAGGTTATGGCTGATCTCCTGTATGAAAAAACCCAAACCACAAAAGAAAACCAAATCAGCATGAGGTTTGAGATACATGCTACATAACCTGCCAGGGTCAAGTCACCATTGACCTGGATGGGGAGACCCCTGTGCCAGCCCACACCCTTCTGGCTTTGTAGATCAAGTAAGCCTACATATTCAGGTTGCTTCAGGAACCTACAGAACTTACATGTGATTGTACACAAAAGACTACAGGCTGCCAAGACAATAACCACAGAAACGGCAATGGTCTCTTTGGAGAGCAAGGAGCAAAGACTGGATTCTTCCCCAAGATGTGACTCGGTTCCCAGGGAGATCTCTGAAGCTCTTCGGGGCAGCTCTCAATCTACCTGTACAGTCACTAGGATATGCACAATGCTGCACCCAGCTGGACAAAATTTTAAGCTGTGCCTAACTTCCCCCAAAAAAAATCAAGCACCAGAAGGGCCGATATCCCTCTGGCAACATAAACAATTTTGCAACAGAGTAGGAAGATGACTTAGGCATCCTACACACTCCAGTGATGCTGTAGGGAACAATCATGCCTCTAATTTATCACTAGTTTAACAGACAAGCGACTTGCCACCTTCCCCACCCTGGCACATCTTGGGGGGCTGAAAAGCAAGGTCCAACAGTTCCTCATTTCTATTCTGGTGAGCATTTCACTGCTTCAACAGTTTGGACAGCCTTGACCTTTAAGAGGAAACTCTCTTATTTCCCCATTAACCCCCTTAGAATGATATTTTCCTCCACACAGTCTCTCCAACTGTGGAGAACAGGAATGAATCAGTAATTCCTGGTTACTGTGGCTTGCAGAATGAGACAGTGCAAGGGAAGAGACACAGGCTGGCTCTACTTCCAGTGCTGAGCCAGGTATGGGAAATAACTAATCAAAAATACCCACTGAAGTCTGCCTGCTGCGGTTGTAAATAGGGTTATAGTCATGTCAAGCACATACTGCAGGTAGTGTGGTTAGCCGAGGGAACGCAGACTTGAAAGAAGATCCATGGTATAAAAGGTTTCTGAGTTGTCTGGCACAGGGTAAGTTGAATAATACCAAACGTATCCTCGTATCAAGCCTGATTTTTAGACGTACTGAGCACCAGAAGTACAGCTACAGCCAGTGGTGCCTGATGTCTTAGGGAATGAGACCACACTTAGCAAGTCTATCTCAGAAACAACACTTCTGCAGGCAAATCACCTGCAGAAGGCTGCCCCCAGCTAACTGCAAGCCGTGTCCTCTCTTCTCTCACCCGCCATCACACATTTCCCTCTGCAATGATCTCCCTTCGCTTTTTGTCTCCTTACATACAGCTCATTTAATCATTGCCCCTGTAGCTATCATCCTATGCTTTGCCAAAACAGGTAACGCTTTCTGCTAGTTTGAGGGTAATCTTTTTCGATGGTGTTTTGCATTACAAAAAGATTCCAAATTATTCAAGCAAGTTTTAATGATAACTGAGGGCTTCCAAACAGGGAGCTACTTCCCGTGTTTGTCTCAATGTAATTTAGCTCTTTGCACTATATACATCTATGTTAATACCGGTATTTTGTGAAGCTCAAACACATTTCTCTATTCTCTGTGCCCCAAGGCCAGGTGTGGGATTTTGCAGGTAGAAATGATGCCTTGCTCCTGCAATCCAAAGCAGATGCTGCAGAGGCTCACCTGGGCTCATGAGCCTGCGCTAGAAGGCAATGCCTCTCTGCCCGGCAGCTCTTCGTCTGCCCAGACTGCAGGCAGCGCGAGCTCACCTCTGCTTGGAACAAGTTTGCAGCTCTCTCCATAAAACAGCAGAACCATCTGCATACTACAACAACCTGCAACTCACTGAAACACTTACCCAGTCCTTTTCATCGAGTTTAGCTGCTTCATTGTACACTTCAATGGCTGCCTTGTGCTTCCCCAAAAGAAACCTGTGAAAGCATTTAAATTATTTTTTTTCTTGCTCTGAAACCCTGCTGTGCAACCACCACCACCTTTGCCAGTGAGAAATGACGCTATTTGCTAGCTCTCCAGAGACCTGCGTGAGAAGGCCCAAGAAGTTTACAGTCTCAGCGATGTTACAATCTGAGCACTGCTCCCTGTCAGGGCCAAGGTCATCAATCCTGCGAGGTGCTGAGGCACTGCCTGACGTTACTTGAGACACAAGGAATGAATTCACAGGCTCTGCAGCCTGCCTTTGTATCAAAGGAGAAAGAGAGGTGATCTAACCAGATACTCAGAGACAGAAAGGGGTCTGTAGGGCACGGTTACACAGCTCAAGTCAGCAGCCCTAGCTCTGGAGCTAGAAATCAGTGTGTTACCTCTCTTGCTTAAAGCACAAAGGAAAAAAAAATACAACAGCAGCCAGGCAGATAACAGAGATTCTGCTTTTAGGGGTGGCCCACACTTCTGGAAGCCGACTCAAGTGTTGATAAGGAGGAAGCATGTTTGGAATTAAGCAGCCTGGGATTTCACTTGATGCCTGGGAGAAAAAAACAAACCTGAAAGGTCCTGGGTGGCACATCAAACAGAAACAATAAAACACCACTCACAGCGATCGTGCCACCTGCTTGAGGTTGTCAGCGCTTCTGGGGTTCAGAATGGAACATGTCTGAAAAAGTTCAAGAGATTCTTGAATTTTCCCCTCCAAGCGGAATATCAAAGCTGTAAGACAACACATACCAGGCAAAATAGTCCATTATCTGCAGGGAAAACGTGAGCCTCTGACAGCAGGGAAAGGAGGGGGAGCACAGATATATTATAACAACACTCATTTGGTCTTTCACCCTGGAAGGCAGAAGCTTCCTCTGAGGGCAGAATGACAATGCAGGCAAAGGACTCGTGCTTGCTTGAAAAAAAATTCTGGTTTTCAGAATAAAGACAGCTTTAAAGCCTGACAAATTGCTCATTAAGATGCAGTCTGGATCCCCCACCCCCAACTTCTACAGGCTGCAGGATGTCCTTGGCCAACAAACCTCAGCTGCCGCCGCCCCCC